CAGGTGGTTTTTGGACTCACAGCAGGGTTTTCAAATCCTAGGATGTAAAGAAAGGCAGGAGATCAGCCCTTTCACCCAAGACTTGGAACTCCTGAGAATTGTGGGGAGAGGCTGTGGAGCCAAACAGGCAAAGAAAACACACTGAAGAATGTGACTGCCGCTCAGAAGCCTTCCCTCTCCCATTCCCTTTGTTATTTAGCGTGTACCCAGGGCAGAATTCATGCAGGAGTCACTCCGCAGAGCCTCACAAGCAATTCATGTGATGCACTCATTTCACAGATGGAGAAACCGAGATCCAGAACCTCAATGACACGCTGGCATCCTGCAGCCAGACAGTAACAGGGTAGAAAGCTGCCTGGCCCCCAAATTTCAGCCTAAACACTAGCTCAGCATGCTGACCCGCCAACCTTGATTATCTCCTTTCTCCGGTTCCCACCAGGTATTAGATTTAATTAAATTAGCAGATCCCCATCGCAACAAGCTGGCCAGGCAGCCTGGCCAGCACCCAGCCAGTGCAGCTCCTCCCTCTAAATTCTGCTTCTCAATAGAATCCAATCTTCAATAAGTCATGGATCTCATGTGAAGTGTTTTATACAAAGCGTGTGTGTTGGCCAGAATCAAGGCTAACAGTGGCTCACAATGATTTCATTTTCCATATAACTTCCTCTGATTTTCCTCTGTGGCATCTCTTTCACCCTCTCCACACGCTGATCTGCATTTTGTTTGATCAGACACTCTGGTTCCCATGCCGTCACCTCCAGCAATTGCATCACACATTTATATATATCTCAGCATCGCAGGCCTTGTGCCACACAGCATAGGAAAGGGAAAACTTACAACAGCATTTCTCACCTTCCTTGAACTAATTTAGAAAATGTGCTCCAAATTAAATAAATCGCGAACAAAAGTCTGAAACTGGAGATAGAATTTCGGGGGGTGGGGTGGGTGGGGAGAGTGTGCTAAATAAATAGCAAGGAAATCGTGCAACATGTTGGAAGCCTATAAATTTTATAGGTTGTTTCTTTAATAAAAACAAATTCAATTGCTAACAACACAGTATTATTAAGCTGCTAACATTTAAAAATCTAATTTGGCCTGCTCTGCTGCTGTTCACGTTGCACATTGCATTCACCCAGGGTAAGGAAGTCAGGTTGATGGTTTGGTTTGGTTTCTAAACCCAGCTAATAGAAGCCCCTTTAAAACTTAGCCTCTTTGCTTTCTAGGCATGCCTTGGTCCCTAATGAGTTACAGCCCCAGGTTGGAGATGGACATGGCAGAAAGAAATTTAACACACACTCTGGTGCACCCATAAACATCAAGGCCAAGGGAGAGGAGGTATGTTTCCAGTTAAGCTAGAACTCCATGAATTCAGGATTCTCCACTCACAAGACAGTAATTCTCCTTATTTCATCACTAACTTACTTCAAATGTGTTTATACAATTTATTGCTACTGAACTTCCAGGCAACTGGTGTAGAGTTAATGAAACCCAGCTTGGAGAAGCTTTGAGCTTTGAACAACTAACCACAGTTTAAATGGTTATGACATGCGGTCAAAGCCACAGCCCAGCCCCACTGCAGTTGCTGTGTTAGGACCTAGTCAAAAAACCCTGTCATCTCACCTTTTGTGCCAAATAAACTGAAAACGGAAAAAGCCTTGAAAAATAGTCTTCCATGTTTCTTGTCAAGGTTTCCAGCCTTTCTCCCTGACATTTTAATACATCTATCTTCCTAAATGCAAGGCGAAGCCCCTCCCCCAGTGCCCAAGTAAATATTTTAGTTGCCATTTGATTTGGCAGCCAGTTGAAATCCTGAAATGCAGTCTGAGTTTAATTGAACAGGGTCAGACCTACAGAAAGCAATGTTGAAGAGGGGGTGTAAGGTGAGGGGGGGGCATCAAGCAACATTTAAAGTCAGATTCAGTGGAAGTCCAAAAGGCAAGATAGAAATGCATGGATGTCACCGGACTGGCAAAGAAGTAAACTAGTCTTTCTGAATTACTTGGACATTGATTTTTATTAATCTTCATTGTCACATGGGGTCCTGCCCCAAGCTCTGTCCATGTGGGAACTCCAGGAGTCTCCCTTATTCTAAACAGGCCCATTTTGGAAGAGTAAAGGGGAGGTAACTGGACTTGCTATGGTCCCACAATAAAAGCCCTTTTTGAAAGCAGCACTTTCATTAACTTAAAGCAATCTATAGACTTAAAAGCAGAGAGCAGTAAACTCCCAGAAAGGATCATAAAACAGCCAGTCTCGAGTTCGGTACACTTCAGTGCAATTTGCACGAGGCATTTTACTGTGAGCGGTGGCCGGCCCATCTCCCTCCAGTAACCCCCTGCCCTTCTTCTGAGCAGCGTCTCTTTCTCTTGGCTTTCATGCCTTTGCTCTCACAAAGGGGAGGCGGTGACCGGGGAGTCTCCGTGGGGTCACGGCTCCCTCCCTCACTCAGGCTCTCCGCGGGAGAGAATGCGCGAATTCCAGGCCAGCAGAACAACAGCGTGGAGCTCCGCAGCCAGCAGTCGCCGCGCCCCGGGCCACCGCGGCCGCTCGTGGGTCGCGAGTCTTTTGCAGAAGTCTGGCTACCCCTGCGAGGGGTGCGAGGGTGAGCTCAAGATTGCGATGAGGAAATTTCAAACCTCCCTTCCGTACACCCCACCCCCACCCCACCCCCCAACACACTGCTTTCCTAGTTGGCTAGAGGGATAGCCTCCCTCCCAGGTTGGGACTCCTCTCCCTCCCTCGAGCTAGGCCTGAGGGGGGTGGGGGGCGGGGGATGCATCTTGAGTTGGCGCTCCAGAATCCAGAAACAGGAGACCCCACTCCCTTCCCCCAAGGTCCCGAGGCCTCGCGAAGGCCAGGATCGCAGAGTAAGCGAGAGGGCTAGGGGTTAGGCTTCGCATAATTTATCTTGTGTTTGAACATCATCATTTTCTCAGTTTGGGGGATGGGAGTCGCCTAAATCTGCCTAAAAGGCGAAGCTTTTGGCTTCCACCAGTTGAAGAACATTTGATATCCGAGACGTCAACACGCTGGAGAAGTCCCGGGACAAGAGGGTGAGGGTAGGGGACCCCGAGCTCACCCTTTTCCCAGGCCGAACACCGCGCCCGCGGCCCAGCGCGTGGGCTTCCGGGCCGGGCCGGGCCGGGGAGAAGCGCAGGCAGCGCCTGCAGGTCCAGAGCCGGCGGCTCAGGTCAGGGCGCCGAAGTTCGAGCCCTCCCCCGCGGTCGGCCGCAGCCCGGACTCCCCGGGTGCGAAGCGGCACCTCGCTGCTGGCGCCTCCGAGCAGGCCGCGGCCCCAGCGGGCCACCCGCCCAGCCGCGCTGCGCCCGCAGACCCCCGAGTGGCTCCCGGAGCCCGCTGCGCGGCCTGGGTCCTCCGATCCACCTCGAGCCCTGTGAAGCTGCCCTGTCGCTTCACGCAGAACGTCCCTTCGATTCGTCCGCCTCCCAGAATCTTTCTCCTAGGACCGGGTCCCGCGCGCCTCAAGTCCTCTCCTCCAGATCCGCTTTCGGGAAGAAGCAGCAGAAATTCGGAGCTCGCCTGCCATGGCTTGGATCAACTACTTTATCGCCTACCTGAAAGCTTTTCCACCCATGGAGCGTGGGAACCCGCGCGCGCGCGACCATCCCCAAATTCCAATAGCCTCACCCCCAATAATAAGCCGTGACCCCGTGCCTAAATCCTAAAAACGCCAGCGGTTCCTCCGACTCCAGCCTCAGATGTAACTCCAGGCCCCCCAAAACCCACCTCCAGCCCCCTACTCTGGCCGGGGTGTAGATTCCACCCCTAAACTACTCAGTGGCCCTTCAAATCCCGCTTCTGAAAACAGCCTGGACCCTATCACCCAAACTCCAGCCTGGACCCGAAAGCCATCCCTAATTCAGGGCCGAGGCACCACCACTCCCAGCCCCGCCGCAGTCCCATCGTGAGCTTGGGTCTCCCTGCCGCGCAGGCACCTCCGGCGCTTCCACTGAGAAGCCTAAAGTGCGGCCCGCTTCTCTCGTTTCTTCCTCGGGTTGGGAAGACAGGAGAGCCGGCACTCCTAACCCGAAAGAGACTCAAACTTTACGCGGCAGAGTCGAGATCCTGCCCCATCCCCCTCTGCTTCTCATCCCCTTTGACGAACTCATACCCTAGTTCTCCAGCCAGGAGGGCTCCTGACGCCCAAGCCTCGCCGTGGGCCCCACGCCTCCCCCACCTCAACAAGGACTCCCAACAATCCGCTCAAAGCCGGTAACCCTACAAATTATCGCGTCTCCCGGGACTGGGGCCCCTGAGCTGGCCCCCGGAATCCTGGCTTCCCTGACTCGTGTTCCGCTGCCCCCCCCCCGATCCGCCTGCAAACCCCACTCTCCTTGGCTCCCCAGGCCGGACGCGGACGCGGTTCTGACTCCACTAGCCCGGCCCGAGTTCGGAGCTGCTCCAGCTTCCAGCCGCTTGAAGGCAGCCCCAGGTTGGCGGCGCCAGGCAGCGCCGGCCCAAAGGGCTCTGGAAGCCGGGAGAAAGCGAACCTGGAGCCGGCCTCCCCCGCGGAGCGCCCGGCTCCAGCCCGCGCCCTAGTCCTTGCTCTCGGTCCCCCATGCTTCCAGAGAGCAGCTCCCCGCCCGCCCGCTACGGGGCCTCTGGCCCGGCGGTCCTCCTCCCGCGCGGACAATGCGCGCCGGGCCCCGGCCCGAGCGTGCGAGCCGGCGGCAGCGGCCCGGGTGCGCGCGGAGCGGCCGGGCGCTGGGCCGCCTCCTCCCGGGCCTCGCCCCGCTCGGCGCTCGCCGGCGCTTCCCCAGCTCCTCTCTGCGCGCTCCCTCCCCGCTCCCTGCTCCCTCCTCCCTGCCGCCTCCCTCTCTCCTCCCGCTGCCTCCCTCGCTCGCTCTCTTCCTCGCCCTGTCGCAATGAATAATACTCCGGCTTGGGGACCGGAATAAAACACACGCGCTCCGAGGCAGCCGCCCGCAGCCGCGCCGCCTGCAGAAGCCGCTCTGACATGGAAATGAATGACAGCTTACCTGATGCCAATCTTCATCAGACTGACACCGGCGTGACAACACAGCCTATACTTCCCAGCACTGCTCGGGACGTCAGCGCTCAGGGACCACCACCCCCACCCGCTCTAGCCCGGTGCTTCCCAGGCGGAGGAGCCGCCGGAGTGTCTCCCTCTGCTGGAGGCTTTTCTGAGACGCCGGGCGCAGAGCAGCGCTGGACAGAAAGCCTAAGACTGTGGAGATCGCCTCGGATGTGGGAACGCAGCCGACCCCCAGAACCTCAGGAACACTGCCTTTCCTGCCCCCATGCCAAGTCTTTCTCAGCAAACCACCCAGGCAGAGTTCCAAGGCTTCCTGTGCTGAGCAGACGGAGACGAGGACCCCAAGAGAACTCCCCAGAAATTATGAAACTTAAAACTGGCAAGAAATCCTTCCCTCCACCCCCACTTCTTCCCCCACCCCCACCCCATTCCTGTCAGGCTGGCCTCGTTTTTATGATTGCATTTGAATAATTCTCATTACCCTGGCCCCAGAAAAGGTGTTCAGATGACGCTCCGGTTAGTTATTCCTATTCTCAAGAGCTTTTTCTGCTGTGGGCTTCCTGGGGCGTTTGGTTCACAAAGGGGGAGACTATGTGATGGGGTGGGGCACAGGGAGAGATGAAAGGGCATAGAGGCTTTGTCAGTAAATCACCGCTTTGCAAATGCCAAACTAGCCCGTTCTAAGCCACTGCTATTTTCATTCTAAAAAGTCTCAAGGTTCTGGGGGGATCGGGTGGTATAATATAAAGGGAGACCAGCTGGGCTGTTTCAGCCTGGGCCTGCCGGTGGCTTCATCTACTTCAGGGAGGACATTCATCTAAGTGCCTTCTAAAGGGAAGACCTGTGCTCGATACATGTGCTTTTTTTCATTCCACAAAGGTTACAGTCCTACTAAGTGTTGGTGTAGGCTACCCAGCACCTGTAGATGCTGACTTGTTTGCTTCCACAGCTCAGCAAGCACATGGCCTTCTGCATAAAGGGACTAGAGGACCCATTCTGCCCCCTTGAAATTTGCTCCTTGATCCCTATAGAGGAGCCATTTCAGCCAGTCAGGCAGCGATTGATCCTCTGACCCCAGACCAGGCAGGGGGCCTGGATAAAGCCTAGACAAAGACACTGATGTAAGCAGGGAAGCAGAAAGTGAAACCCAAGCAGGCTGGGTGTTTAGTAAAGAATCTGACCCCAGAAGTTGAAGGCTGCCCCTTCGCTCTTTCCAAGACTCTGGGTCACTCCTCCTCTGCCTCCATCGCGGGCAGGGTTGAGCGCCATTAGCATTTCATGGCTCAGAGGAGGCAGCTGTGATCTTTTTGGCCCCACGTCCCCAATACACTAAATACTGTTTGTCCAGATCCTCCCAGTCCCCCCAAATTCAACCTCCAAAGTTGCTTACAGAAGAAACTCTTCCCTGAGAGCCCCCATTATACATGGAGCTGAGTCCTCTCACCTTCACATAGAACCTCCAAAGACTTCAAGGTGGATTTATGTCACCCTAGCCTCTGATCTGTGGTCAGAGACTCTGGCTGCTGACAGCATAATCGCTATTATATATTATACATTGTATAATAATATAATAATAATGAATGCACTTGCCCTTTTTATGTAGTACAGAAGCGGCCAGATTCTCCAACCCAGAGGCTGGAGGTCAGGCTGCCATAAACTCTCAGAGGGAAGCCCTCTTCAGGCACAAGAGCGGGAGGGGATATCCATTTGCCCCTGCCTGGGACCCCTGCAGGGAGGGTTTCTTCCTTTGCCTGGGCTCAGAGTGAGTGCTGTAGCCTGCTGAGTCAGAGGGGAGAATCAGGCTGAATGTAAATACTTAACCCCATCAGAGAGGTGTCAGTGAGCCATAAATAGTACTACAGTCAACAGCCATGCATCACTGATTCCCACTTGTCACACCCCTCATTTTCTGAAATCTAGTTCCGTGTCCAACTTTCTTGAATCAGGAGATCCACTGCCATGAGCTGTTAATTTTGGGAGTCTTTTAAAATACTGTGATATGCACTAACACCCTTTGGGTCCTTTAAAATGCACATTATAATTTTTTCAAGTGTATCTTGTCTTGACTATTTTTATAATTTGCAAAAGTTTAAAAATGATTACTAAATGTAACCATCCTTCTTACAATCATTCAAAGCAAATATCTGTCCTGTACCCACCTGAAGGTTGGCTGTGTTGACCTATCCTAGTGCTAAAGATAAAGGACAAAAGAAGCAAAGACATTCAAGTTCCAGCTCCTGTCCTCAAGGAGCATTCATTCTAATAGAAGACAAAGCACCAATATATAAAACATTAAATAATAATAATGCAAGAATCCAACAGATGAAATAAGCTAGCAAATAATGAACAAATGAATCCGCAACACATCAAACTCCATGAGTTCCATACCTGAATATTGGCTCTGTAAGTGAGTGTAGAATTCACTTCAGATATTCTATTATCTCTCCCCCATCATACTTCTGAGAATGAAGAAGATGGAGAGGGGCCACATGTCATATAAGTCACCAACACCTCAACATTATAACCAATCAGGAGTTTCTACTAATCATAGTCATCACTCTTAAATTGCGTTGGCTTTCCTAAGGCTTGGCTCTAGGCCCTGCACTTGATTTGCCTTTAGTATAAGCAGCCCAGGTTGTCTCCTCTGAGCTCTAGATACGTACAACTAATGGCCTAATGCTGTCTTTGTCACCCTATGAATAAAAATTTAAGACTCTGTATAAGTCTGCTCCACTTGCCACAACAAAATACCTCAGACTATGTGGCCTAAACAGCAGACGTTTATTTTCTCACAGTTCTAGAGGCTGGAAGTCCAAGATCAAGGTGCCAGCATGATTGATTTCCAGTGAGACCTCTCTTTCTGGCTTACAAATGGCACCTTCTTGCTGTGTCCTCACATGGCCTTTGCTCTCTGTCAGCAGACACTTCCCTCTGGATTTTCTTCCTCTTCTTAAAAAGGTACTAATCCTATTGGATTAGGGTCTCACCTTTATGACTTCATTTAATTTTACCTCCTTAAAGCCCTTATCTCCAAATAGAGTCACAGTGGGTGTTAGAGCTTCCACATGTGAATTTGCAAGGGGACACAATTTGGTCTGTAACACTGTCCAATTACCAGCTTCCTTTGTTCTCAACCTAATTACTTTTGATGAATCTTGATAGGTTGTGAGTTCCTCGAGGATGGGGGCAATGTTTTATTTCATCTTAGGATCCTTAAAACCTGGCACAGTGCTCAATCCAGAAAACATACTAAAAAAATACTTGTTGCATTGACCTGAATGGAGCTTACTTCTCCATCATTGCCCGGTCCTAGTTGAGGGACTTACCACTAGTCACCTAGAATATTTTGATGATTTCCTAACTGGTTTAATGTCTCCAATATCGTCGATACTTTCTATACATTATCACCAGAATATTCTTCCTAAAATAAAGCTTGGGTCACACCTTGGTTTCCGCTCAAAATTCTCAGTGGCTTTTTGTCCTCTATAAGATTTAGCCTAAGATGTTTATTGAGCCTTATAATAAAAAGGATGGCCTCGAATGCCACCTCCTTACTACGGTGTTCAAGTATCTCTCCCTCATCTGGCCCTGATCTCCCTTTCAGGCAAATCTCCTGTATTCCTACCAATACCTCCCCAGTTCCATCTTCCAGAGGCTCCCAGTGCTGGTCCATTGATTTCCTGCTTGAGAATCGGTATATTTCAGGGTTTCTGTTTCCACCCCTGGAGAAAGTGGATCTGGAGAAGAGCCTGGGAAATCAGTATTTTAAAAGCTGCTGCATAAAGGAAATGAGAAGGTAAGCCACAGACCAGGAGAAAATATTTGCAATAGGTGCATCTGATAAAGGACTGTTATATAAAAAACTCTTAAAACTCAACAGTAAGAAAATGAACAAACCAATTAAAAAATGGGCAGAGACCTGAACAGACACCTCACCAAGGAAGATGTACAGATGGCAAATAAGTATGTGAAAAGGTGCTTCACGTCATATGTTATCAGAGAAATGCAACTTAAAACAACAAGATACCACTACACACCTATTAGAATGGCCAAAATCCAAAACACTGACAACACCAAATGCTGGCGAGGATGTGGAGCAACTAGAACTCTCATTCATTGTTGGCGGGAATGCCAAATGGTACAGCCACTTTGGAAGACAGTTTAGTGGCTTCCTACAAAACCAAACAAACTCTTACCATACATACAATCCATACTCCTTGGTATTTACCCAAATGAATTGAAAAGTTGTATCCACACAAAAACCTGCACATCTATGTTTATAGCAGCTCTACTCATAACCCCAAAGCTTGGAAGCAACCAAGATGTCCTTCAGTGGATGAATAAATAAACTATGGTCCCTCCAGACAATGGAATATTATTCATCACTAAAAATAAATGAGCTATCAAGTCATAAGAACACATGGAGGAAACTTAAATGCATATTACTAAGTGGAAAAAGCAAAGAAAAGTCTACATATTATATGATTCCAACTATATGACACATTATAGAAGAAGCAAAACTATGGAGATGATAAAAAAGATCCAGTTGCCAGGGGTTGGAGGGTAGGGGGAGGAGTGAATAATCAAAGCAAAGAGGATTTCAGGGCAGTGAAAATCCTCCATATGATACTCTAATGATGGATACATGTCATTATACATTTGTCCAAACCCACAGAATGTATAACACCAAAAGCGAGCTCTAGTGTAAACTATGGACTCCGGGTGCTGATGTGTCAATGTAAGTCCATCAGTTATAACAAATGCACCATTCTGGTGTTGATAGAGGGGGAGACGCTCTGGGGGAGGGGCAGGAGTGTACATGGGAAATAACTGCACTTCCCGCTCAATTTTGCTGTGAACCAGAAGCTGCTCTACAAATAAAGTTTATTAATTGTTTTTAAAGCTGCTGCAATTGAGAGGTTTGTGCATTTCCATTTTAGCGAACCTCCCCCCAGCCCCGCTCATGTATTCCAGAACACCCCATGCAGCTCAGCCCTTCCTGAACTTGCTCACACTGTTCCATCAGCCGTGACTTCTCAGCCCCTCTTTTCCTACCTTC